ATATAATCATGCATTCATCAAGTATTTGTTTGCCTTGTTGGTTGGGTGTAAAGTTCTTGGGGCATGCTCTCTCTTGTTGGGGACTCTCAGGCCCTGCCTACTTTCTTCCAGGATGTTAGATCCCAGGTACTGAGATGGGGGCCTAGCAAACAGGAGCCAGCCCCTGCCCTCTTGGAGTTTAGTCAGGTAGACAGAAAGGAAAGCAAAGCTATACAAGTGTATTTCAGTTGTGATGAGTCTTAAAAAGGAAAGGTGCATTTTTCCTCCTCTAATAGCCACTTCAGCTTTCAAGTTCATTTGCTGTATTTATGCCCACTTTACAGATGCATCTCAAGAGGTTCAAAAGTTCCCCCAAGTCACCCGGCCAGGAAGTGACTCTCCAATTCTGCCCATAGTTAGAGAGGAGGGGAGGGTTTATCAAATTGAGGTGTGAAATAGGGAAATGGAAGCTGCTCATTTAAACAGATCTCCAGGGCTATGATTAATGAGAGAAAACCTTTTTTGTAGGTTGAAGAGCTCATTATAAATCATGTGATCTTCAACTTTAAAATTGGAGAAGCTTCAGATGGTGGGTCCTAAAATGAACCACCAAAGACAATGAGATTGACAGGTGTAACCATGGTATTTTTGTTCCTCCTGGTTCCACCCATCTGAATTACAATCAGTTGTTCCTTAAGTCTGGCCCACTCCAGGCCAGAGGGTGGTGGCTTTATCCTGGCAGTGTGTAGAGTGAGGATTCCTTCATCTCAACTCCACAAATATTTAGTGAGCACCAGTGGGGTGCCAGTCACTGCTCCTGTTGGGAGAGTGCAATGAACAAGACTGCTTTCCCACAGGCTTTCGTTCAGATAGAAAGTTACCCATACATTGGGGAAAGTAAGTCAGGGTGGGGGCCTTATGAAAGGGTCGAGTGCTACAGAGTGACTAGTTCGTGGGGGAAATACTTTTAGTATGATACTTTAGAAAGATCAATCTGGGCAGGCACCAAGGAAGAGGTGCCATTTATGTGAGGGCCTTAATGATTACAGGAAGTCAGCTTTGCAAAGGGTCTGGAGTGAGCTTGCTGGTGTTTTGGAGGAGGAGGAAGAATGTTAGGGAGGCTGAAGGGGGCGGGAGCAAGGAGCACCATTCAGCCAGTGATTGTGGAGAGACAGAAGGCCTTGAGTTCTGCATGAGGACTCTGGATTTTGTCAATAGTGAAATTAACCATAGAGCCACCCTGTTTAGAAGCAAGTACACAATTATTGCTCATCTGTAGGCCATTTTATTCATGCCCTGCATGCAGGAAGCCCATGAAAAGAATTCAGAATTAATAAATGAGAACCTAGACATTTCTCTTCCCTGGAGTGAACAAACAGTATTTCCAATCCTACCCATACAACCACCAGGGAAAGAGCTTAGGTTTAGGTAATACTGATAGTAGACCCTGGGCTTGAGTAACGGGTCCTCATGTTCTTCCAGAGCTTGTTTCTTTTCGGGGGGAGGGATAAGGACATCCTGAAATTCTCAGGATGCAGAAGCAGGAAGCATCGTAGAGGAGAGGGCAAAATCCCCTCTCACTAGAACTGAAGCTGTCTCTCTTCACCGTTACCTCCTCAGAGAATATGAACCTCTTTATACGCAGGATGTCCTCAGAGATGCTTAACTTTGGGGCTTATAAAAGACAGGTTCAGGAAAACAGTATGTTTGGGGATGTATACCATTTGCTAGATTGTTAATGCTGACCCTAATTTCATGCCAGGGCATGAGTAGACGGCTGGGTAAAGATCATTACACACACCTGTATAGCTTTTGCTTCTACAAGTGATTTTTGAAGAGTTTTCCCTCCTTACTAAGGTTGATCCACTCGCAATGCTCATTCATCATCTCAGGTTGCCACCTCCCCTCTCTGCTTTCAGATGGGGGAGGTTCTGGGTGCAATTCAGTTGTCATAAATCAGCTGTTATGTATGTCAGAGCTAAGCAGCAAGGAAATCAGGAGTTGGAGGACTCAACTCCTCTTATCCTAACAATTATGCCAGGAATGAAATAAAAAAATAGATATATGACTGGGCAGAATGTTTGTCAGAACACTTTTTTCATAGGCATATCCTACATTTAAATTTGGCTCTTCAATGAGAGCATTGCTTTATGTATAACTTATACGCATAAAAGGTAAGGCAAACTGTTAAAATTACACCTCAAAGAAATTTTACATGTTCCTATCCTTTTACAACCATCACCCAGATCTAGATACAGGACATTGCCAGCGCCCTAAGGGTTTCCCTTACCCCCTTCCCACCATTCCGACCTCTGCCACCATAGATAACCTTAGCCTGTTCTTGCACTTCATGTAAATAGAGTCATACAGCGTGCTCTCTTTATGTGTCTCAGCGTTTTCTGTGGGATTCATCTGTGTTGCTGGGTGTAGTCATTCTGTTGATATGTAGTATCCCATTATATCATGGTTTCTCAAATGTGGCATTATTGACATTTTGAGCTAGATAATTCTTCCTGTGGGGACTGTCCTGTGCAGTATAGGGTATTTAGCGACATCTCTCTGGCTACTACCCACTAGGGGCTAGTGCCGCCTTCCCTTCCCCCATTAATTTTCGCTGGAATTGAAAACCATTGTATCATAAATATACTACAATTTTTAAGATACTTTTTTATTTGGAAATAATTTCAAACTAAGTATAAAGTTCCAACGAATGGAACAAATAATACAGTGTACACTTTACTTAGATTAAGCTATTGTTTACAGCTTACTCCTTTTTAAAAAAATCATTTTTTCTCCCTTGCTCACACATATGCCCACACACAATTTATTCCTAACCCATTTGAGAACAATTGCATTCACCTTGATCATTTACCATTATTTACTTCCACATGTATTTCCCAAGAATAAGGCTCTTCTCCTGCACTATCATAATTATCAATTAACCACAATAAATGTAGCATAATACATTTGTCAGTTGCCCATGTCCCAATTTTTATCACATGATCAACAGTTATCCTTTATATCATTTATTATTACTACAGAGAAGGTTCTGGTCCAGGATCAAATATTGTATATGTTTGCCATGGTCTTTAGTATCCTTCAGTCTATAAAACCTTTCTTTATCTTCTATGATACTGAATTTTTTTGAAGAATACCTTCTGTTCTTTTTAACAGAACAGTCCTCATTTGGAGGTTTGTCTGATCTTTCCTCCTGAATACATTCCGGCTTTGCATTCTTGACTGGAAGACTGAATTAGAACATACCATCCAAGTCACATGAGGTCCAGTTGCACCTCATCAATGACACTAAGTTTGATCTCCTCTGTATAGTTACTAAATTTTCCTTACAGCTAATAAGCAATGTGCGAGGAAACAATAAAATCATTGCAAATATTCTACTCCCCCATCAAATATACCCCCAAAATTGAGCATATTTTGACTCTCGCATGAACCAATCTTTACCTACACTGATTACAAATCCAGCACTCTTGTCTGCACTCACTCCAAGCGTACTGCTATATAGAAGAGCCTGATCTTTCCTCCACTTACTTTTTTATTTTACCAGTTATCAGTATGGACTCATGAATTCCCATCTTTTCCAGTGGTTTATAAATCATCACTGTTTTTAAGTATTGTAATGCTCAAATTGCTCAGCTCTGGCTAGTGGGAACCCCTTGAATTTGGGCCCTGTGCTCTTCTGAAAAACTCCCATCACTTTTTATTTTTAACACTCCTTACCTTTTTGCATAACAAAATCATAGAATCTCCACTCTGGTTATATACCCAACAGAAAGGAGTAAGCACATAAAAAAAAAAAAAAAAGGAAAAAAGGACACATATTCAAAGCAACTTTTTTTTCTTAATTCGTGTGTGTGTGTTTCTGTGTACTTCGAGTCTGTAGATATTGACAGTTTTTCAAAGTGATCATAATATTTGTTTATCAGGAGAGTAGGAGTAAGTTGTTGGCCCCAATAGGTGGGGAGGAGTAATCAGTGGTAGGGGGTCATAATGGACCACAGCAAACCAAAGATATGCTGTCTGCGGCCAGAAATGGCAAATTACAGATCCTTTCAATAGATAAATGATGAATGAGAAACGATAAGATTTTGCCACCTGGTCCATTCTTAAGCTTCTCTTTAGAGTGCTCCTTTGAGGTGGGCTGCATGGAAGTGACTGAAGTCAGGAATCGCCTATGACTTTCAAAATGGTTTTTATCTCAGTGATACCAGTGACGGCACTTTAGGAAGGTGTCCACTGCTAGGAACACCTCTGCTGTTAGAGAGCATTAGGGTCACTGCTTTGTTTTAAAAAGAGCCTCCCCAGGGGAAGGAGAAATGTCTCCAGAGTCCCACTCATGTCTTCTGGCTGCTGGGGACCTGTTTAGAACCCTGGGACAGTCATTTACAAAACAGTCAGAGGAAATGTCCTTCTGTCTACACCCAGGGAATCACTTAGTTTTCAAGACATCTGAGACGGGGGCTGAGGGACAGACAGCAGATCAGAAAACTGTTGAAAGCTAACAGGGGAGTAAACTGGTCCAGTATCATGGGCCTAGATTCTAGGATCAACTTTGCCAGGAAGTGCTTGGGCATGGTCCTCCCACTATAGCTCAAGGCTTCCTTGTCCTAAATATCTGCCCTAGGTAGCTTAGAGTGCATTACTAGAATCAAAGAGGTCATTGAAGCACTTTTTGTAGAGAGAAATTCTAAACAGAAAAAAAAAAATCATACACAAGACACACAATAGGCTGTTAGTATCTTTGATGAGATTTCAGAGGAATTAATAACTAGTAAAATGCACGTCTGTGGATGCATTTCAGCCAGATGCCCCCTCTAGGTGGCACTGGCCCGTGGTAGAGTGGGGAAAGGCCGAACACGCTTTCTTAGCGAGCCTTTGTGCAGTGTCCACTATACAACCCCACGCAGTGACCCTGAACGGACGACCGTTCCCATGTGCGATAGTGATCCCTATTGCTACACATTTGTATTAACCTCCAGGGCCCTCTCCTCTCCCCTCCATAGGCCTCTCCGCGGATGGTGGCGCCAAGCGCCAGGAGCATCTCTCCCGGTTTTCCATGCCTGACCTCAGCAAAGACTCCGGCATGAACGTGTCCGAGAAGCTTAGCAACATGGGCACGCTTAACTCATCCATGCAATTCCGCAGCGCGGAGTCCGTTCGCAGCCTGCTTTCCGCCCAGCAGTACCAGGAGATGGAAGGAAATCTCCATCAGCTCGGCAACCCCATTGGCTACAGGGACCTGCAGTCCCGTGGCAGGATGCATCAGAGCTTTGATTTTGACGGAGGGGTGGCGAGCAGCAAGCTGCCTGGCCAGGAGGGCGTGAGGATCCAGCCCATGAGCGAGCGCACGCGGAGAAGAAGCACCTCCCGCGAAGATACCCGCCGTTTCCGACCGCACCGATCCAGGCGGTCCCGACGCTCACGCTCAGATAACGCCCTGCATCTGGCCAGTGAGCGTGACACCATCTCTCGCTTGAAAGAAAGGCCCCCACTTCGAGCCAGGGAGGACTATGACCAATTCATGCGACAGCGGAGCTTCCAGGAGAGCCTGGGCCAGGGGTCCCGGAGGGACCTGTACGGCCAGTGCCCAAGGACTGTGTCGGACCTGGCTTTGCAAAATGCCTTTGGGGAGCGATGGGGACCCTACTTCACCGAGTACGATTGGTGTTCCACCTGCTCCTCTTCCTCAGAGTCTGATAATGAGGGCTACTTCCTAGGAGAACCAATCCCCCAGCCAGCCCGCCTACGATATGTCACAAGCGATGAGCTTCTGCACAAATACAGCTCTTATGGCCTCCCCAAGTCGTCCACGTTAGGTGGCAGGGGACAGTTGCACAGCAGGAAAAGACAAAAGAGCAAAAACTGTATTATTTCTTAATCTGATTGGTGTCAGGGAATAGGGGAAGATGGGAGCTAAGAATGTAAATTCAGAAACTTGCACTGTTTTAAATTTATAAGCGCTTTTTGGGGTGGTTACTGGGGGAGAAAAAGGGACATGCTCTCAGTTGATGAAGGCAAGGTTGCAGATTGACTCGACTGGTAGTCACAGTTCTTGGCATGTTGAATATCATTTGCACATTTCACTTTGGAAACGCTATAGACTCTGTGGAGGTCAGGGTTGGTCACCTCCCTCCCATCAGTGTGTTGAGTTGCCGCTCTCAAGATGGCAAGTTGCCTCCGCTCGCTTGTATTCTCTCTGGTTCTCTTACTTCTAGGACCCTTTTTCCAGTAAGTAATTTGTTTATTAGCCAGGACCCAAGTCTAAATTATTTACATGTCCATTGTAAATGCAATGTAAATGAGAGTTCTGATAAAATATTTTTGTATTTTGTAATATCAAAGGAATTTCTATATGGTAGGATTCAGTGAAGACCCGCATGCACATCCTGCATTGTCTTCGAGTAGTATTCCTAGGTGGTCCAGGACCACCTTTTTTTTTTTTTTTTTCCTTTTTCTATACAAATTTGTTACATGTCAGTGAGACTTTTTTCAAATGAATTTATTCAATTTGGCTTTCTGTGGTTTAAAAATATTATTATACCCAAAGCATTGTATGCTCTATTCCACTTAAGGAGCCATCCTTAAGTCCACTCCCCACCTCAGTAGAATGTATTCTCTAAAAAGTGATAGTCATTCTCTCTAAATAGCAAACATAACTTTTGCCAATTAGAGAAACAAATCAGTGTCAGTAAATTCCATGAGAAACACCAGCCCTGCTGGGAACATTGAAGTTGCTCACTATTGATCTCTCCCTTGGGAAAATAACAGTGACTGTGAGTGGTGCTGTTGTGTGATGTCAGCATGACATTGTTTTGAATGTGGCATTATTTTCTGGTGCTCACGTTTCCTGGATTGTATTATCTGCTTTCCTTTACCAAGGCAGACAGAACAGCTGCCTTAGCCTGACAACCGGTTGTCCTCAGTGCAAATGAACTTAAGCATTAGGATCTTGGGGACAGAAAGGTTCTGATGGGGATCTGGGAGTGACAGTGTGTTCTAGATTGTATCTTAAACTTGGAGAAGGAAGAAGGTGATTTGAAATCAGAAAGCTGGTCAAGGGCAGAACTGAAGGAGAATATGAAGGAAAGTCAGGGCAAAGAAGAACTTCTGGAAATGAAATAGAGGCGAGGTGACGGCCACCTTGAATAGCCACTAGTGCTTGTGGAAAGAATCTAGTTGAACACACTCCCTAACCGGATTATCTGGGTTACCCAGAAAGGTTGAGCTGCTCAGGAGATCTGAGTGTAGTGGTCTTGAAAAACAAATGTTGAAAGGAGGATTTCGATTTTGAACTTTGGGGACCTTGGGTCAGACAGAAAATGGGCTCAAAAGTGAGTTTGCCTAAAGAAGACATTCAACGGTTGTGTTGTTTATAGTAAAATAATACTTCCTACCTTGCTTTGGTTAAAAATGAAGTGCTTGCTTTTTCTTCCATTCTCCTCCTCCCCATAATGGATTGTGGCAGTTGAAATAATCCATTGCAGGACCTACCTTTAGTGAGATGTGTTGTCCATGTGCTACACGGTGTATCTCAGTGGCCATCTGCCATGGTGAGGTGAGCGTGGTCTCTTTTCAGTATAGTAGTTAATATTTTCTAGTATTTTTTATGGAGAGAATGTGAAAAGTGGCTTTTCAGACACCATGCCAAATGGGTCTGAGGAAAGGAAGGCTGTACAGGATGTGAAAATGGCGCTCCATTCAGGATGTATTAAAATAATTTGCTTTTCAGGTATTAATATGACATTTGTCATTGTCACTGATTTTTTAAAAAAGCAATGCAAATGTTGGTTGTGGCTGTTTTCCGCATGCTATCTTCATATCTAAATGCTTCATTAATTATCCAAGCCTCTGGAGAATTAACTCTATTACGTTTGTATAGTAAGTTTGTAAACTGCTTGGCAAACTGATTTTAAGAAATAATGTGCAACACCACACAACTAAAGTGGCAGGTTTCTGGTAGAAATTGGGCAAGTCCAATTTGGATTTTTGAGTTCATTGATTGATGAGAACAAAATGGCATTTTGGAAAAAGGAAAAAGAGAAAAAAGTAGATGACTTAACATAGCAAAAAGCGAAAAGCAATGTCTGTCCTCTGTGGCCCGGAATCCAATGAAAGGAATTCTCTTAGTAAATGTTGCTTTCCAACTCTGTCCTTTTCAGAGCACCTCTTGCATTCCCCAGATGGGGCTTTAACCCCATCAGCAGAAACGGACACATAACTAGTGTCCAAAGGGATTGGAGGAATGAACAATTTGAGATCTAGTTGCCCAGGGAGCACCCAACAGCTGAACTGGTCAGCACTTGAGATCTAATGGATATAATAAGCCTCAGGGTCAACTGTCTACAGGCAAGATCACCTCCATGTACTCTAGCCCTGCAGAGGCCTTCCCACCCTGCATGCAGCCAGGAGCCTTACAGAGAATGCTGATGGAGGATTTGATGATGGACCCTCCAGGTGAATGCCCCAGGGAGAGCAGGGTGACATTGTACCAGGAGTTCTACCTATTAGTGATAACTTACGCATAACATCCCAGAATCCAATTTCCAAAAATTCAGTGCATTCTTTTCTGAGGCAAGAACTTGGGGTCCTTACCTGATTCCTCCATCATAATCACCAGCTCCTCTTGGTCAAGTTTCACTGTGCGTGAGGCCTGTGCTCACCTCTTCTTAGATCATCATTCTGTCTTCCATAGACTGTTTTCTATCAAAGTAATCTTTTCCCAGTTTTCTCTCTGCTCCAATGCCTTAGAGTTTTGTTTGTCTGTTTGTTTTTCTACCTTCTCTCATGTCAGTTCTCTTCTTGTCTTGGTTAACATTGCAGCTGTAGAGTTCAGTTCATGTTCTATTTGCTGCTCAATTCAGTGGCGTCAGAACTGGCTCTTTCCCAAGAAACAGAAATTATTGATAGTGTCCTGAATGGCCCTGCCAATACACACCACCATTGATACTGTGAACAGGTTTCTTAGTAGGCTGTTGGCATTGAGCATGGTGTTCAGACACCCTTCCTTCTGTTGTATAGTTCTGGGATCCTCTACCAGGTATGAAGGCGAATGAGCTGAGGGAAACCAGAACTGTGTTTTTTAGTACTGCACATGTTCAAAAGGGGAGAATCCCTAGTGTTTGTTGTTTGACAGCTTCTTCCCATATCCATATTGTATTCTCTAGTCCTTCCTTTCCATCCCCAGCCAACCCAGTGACCAAACAATTTTGTATTATTAATATGGGACCTGGAGATAGCTCTTTCTCATCCTTTTTTTCTCATTCTGTAGGATGCTCCTGCACTGCAACAAGTTTGTATTTCCTTCTCCTGAAGCAGTTTTCTGCTTCTCGGGTACCAGTAGCAGTGGTTGAGTTCAAGTGGGGCCAGTGATGGCATATACATAGCACATATTCTGCAACCTGGGCAGATATAACCAACATGTCTCTGTATACTTTCCAGAGAACACGGATACAGCCTCAAAAATCTTGTGACATTCCAGCTAGCCAAAACCAATTCATCAGTACAGATCTTATTTGTCTGATAACAAACCTTATTTGTGAACTGATTCTTATTTGTCTTTCCTTCCTGCGCTCTTTTACCATTGGCCAAAAATAGTACACTAGCCACTTGAGAAACATCATTTATAAATAATTGTGAGACTCCAATTCCTATGCCCCCAGATTGTCAATGCTAATGGGAGCTGAATTCTTTAGGTTAAAAGAAGGCAAGTCTCTTTGGCCTCCTTTTCCCTTCTCATGTTCTTGGCCGGTTATTATAGGCAGCCTCTGTTCATCTTTTTGCAGAGGTCAGATGGGAATCCATCTTATTCTTCATCTAATCCCACCTTCTAACAAGAAATAACACAAATATTTAAATTCTAAGGAGAAGTGTTCTTTGTGTATTTCTGTCTAACAGAAGCCAGACACTAACATCTAAGAAGGAGAATCTATGAAAAGGGAAGTGGAAGATGGAACCAGCTATCTGAATATTTCATGCCAGAAGAGTAGCTATTAGCAACTGTTTAGCACCTTCAGGGCTCTGAAATGGCCTCTGGACAGCATTCCAGGTGCAGGACTCAGCCAAGCCTCCTCTGCTGATTTGGAAGGTAGTTTCATGCTGCCTTTTGAGGTACAGATACTTACCTAAGCAGTCAAGAAGTTGAAATGAAGAGAATTTTGCCCTGCCTCCCATGATTTGTCCATTTGGGACCTAGCAGACACCAATGCTTCTTTGACCACTTGGAAGCAGTTACCAATGTTAGGATCAAGAAAGGATTTGATTCTTTTTCCATTTTCTCATAATAGTAGCCCAGTCAACACAAGACTCATAAAACATGACTCACTGTTGGGAGCTATACTATTTTATAGGCTGACTTCCTGCTGACAAAACCAGCTTTCCTCCAGGGAATAAAAAGGAGCAGGGGAAAGTCACACGGTGTTAGAAAAACATTTCTGTTATTTTGATATGATGAATCCATAGAATAGAAAAGAAAATTCTCTATCCTGAGAGTTTTCTGAGACATCCCTTCACCTTACTGGGCATTTGGCCATTGATGTTCAGTTGGTGACTGACCAAGCTTTTCTAAATTTTTTGGAGAGAACCCCTCATCAGTAAGGTCTCTCCTCAAGTCTTTCTGGTGATTTCCATATTTTCCCATACAATATTTTGGTTCTATTTATGGACCGTGGCTTAACACTCTGTGGCCTATGAGTCCTCCATTTTCCTTAGCAAATTAGGCCTTTGGCAGTTTTCCCCCTCCTAAACATTTTTCCTGTACAGGATTGCTTTGCCATCTCCTGCTTTAATTCCAAGTGCATAATCAAAACCTCAGTGGGCCTGAGAAGGTGAGGCAGGCCAGAGTCTGTTGTGTGTCGAACGTCGAGCTGTTTGTTAAGAAGGTCTGGAACAGGCCTTTGGTGTAGGCTCTGCCAGAGACTGTTTGTGAACACTTTGCTTGAGATCCGTGCCCTGTAAAATGGATATGATGTTTTACTGATGTCTGTAATACATTTGTAAACTTCCAATAAAATTTGAATAAAAGAAATATTGCCATTCCTCCCTTGCTTTTCAGATTTTTTAAAATCTCTGCCTTTGAGCATCTCAGCAGGAAAGAGAGGCTGCACATGTCAGAGATGAGATTTACTATGAAAGATGAACCAGATTATTTACATCAGAATTTCTCAACCTCAGCATAATCTACTTCTGGGCCAGTTCATTCTTTGCGGCAAAGAACTGTCCTGCATTTTGTAGGATGTTTAATAACATCTCTGACCTCTACCCACTGGATGCCAGCAGCACCCCTCCCCAAGTTGTGACAACCAAAAGTGTCTCCAATGTACCACACCCATTACAATGAATACTATTTTTTAAAA